TTGAAACCTGTTGAGTGTACAGAAAAAGTTTGGAATTTATGTTTGTCCCTTTAAAAAAAGCTGAATATTTTCCCATGGTGAATGTGGGCACTGGACATGCCTACATTCACCATTTTTTTTTCCTTCTGGTGTGTAGGTTTTATGTGAATTTTGTGATAAGTCAAAGAAGTTGAGATGTTTCTGTTGCTTCTTTGTTATTTTTTATTGTTTGAAATGTCTGAGGTTTCCCTCCCCACTCCCTTTTCTATTTGATTTAGCCTTTCCCAGGCTTGAAATTCTCTCCTCCAGATTTTGTTAAGGTTTGCTAATTAAGGTATCTGCCTCTTTGGTATCTGCTTCTTCTGTCTCTTCTCGTTAATTGAAGGTCACAGAGAGGATACGGAAGGGGGGAGAAGACACAATACAATGTTTCTATAGAAAATCATTGGGAACAGATTCCCTCGCACACCTTTTTCGGGGGTTTTACAGTGCTTTCACACATATATAGAATTAATTTATTTGCATTTGCACTAAGGTTTCATTGAGTATCTCTACATACACAGAGTGCAAAGTATGCAAGATCAATAGTTTTCAATAACATATTTTTTGGGGCAACATTTTTTTTTAAAAAATAACTTTTTTATGGGACTGAATGTTCAGTGAAAATAGCATATATGTAGAAAACATTATGTTACAGGGTGTCCGCTTATTGTGTTGTTAAGGGAGACTTAACGAAAGATCTGATGGACAAAAAGGACACAGAGAAAGACATTCAAAGTGTTTTTAAGAAAAAAGGACAAATGGATACAAGTATTTCACAGAGTGGCCAGGTGGCAGGAGGATCATCTTCCCTCTCTGAACCCTGATTAAAATGGAAGCGAAAGTCTTTTGAACTGAAAACATGCACAAAATGAAATTCCAGTTAAATTGAACAGAATGATGAAATTAAACCTTGCAGCCATAATTAAGTTTTTAAGAACATGGACTGCTGGCTCCTGTTGCCTTACAGCTCTTGATTTAACGTATTATTTATTTATTTATTTATGACTCCTAAAAGCTAAGAAAAGATGGTTTGCAAATAGTAATTCAATATGTTGATTCATTGTTCTCTGCTGATAACTTCCGAGCATGTACAAAATACAGAGCATGCTCCATTTCCTTATTGGGAGAAGCTGCATACTGAGTACAATGGAAAACATCAGATTATGCAACTGAAATAACTGAGTTGCTGCCCAAACAAAATAAAATATTTTGCACGATAGCTTCTACTCCCCTGCCCCCACTTATTGCCAATGGATTCTAGAATTTGGACTGATTATCAAGTCCTTATCTAAGGCTAACCTGAGAAGAAATCTTTTTGGCAGTTAACATAAAAGCTCATAAAATGGGGTGAAGATAGAAGCTGCTACCGCAATTTGTTTTGATTTGTTTTGATAAATAAGTTGGAGAGAACAATTTTTTCACATGTTGATCTTGGCAAATATCCTTTTCTCTCCAATTATGTAAGTTTTTACTATCTATTATCTTTTATTTGGGATGGTGGTGGTTTCAATACATACATCTGCATGCCCCACAAGGTTCAGCTTTAACGACCAGAGAAATTTTGTTCGCACGCTGATATTGGCAAATGTCCATTTCTTTCTTTACCTGTATTGAGTTTTTACTATCTACCGCACTAGCTTTTATTTTTGGGGCCTTCAGTACACATATTTGCCCGCCCCACAAGGTTTAGCTTTAAGCTCAACCTGCTTTTCAATTACTTACAAAAGTCTGGTACATTAAGCCTTTTATTTATTTATTTATTTATTTTACAATAGCAGAAACAAAGCTAATGGAGAATTTAAAAGGTACATCCAGTTTTAATGCAGTCTTTAAATTTTACTGTGATACCAGTTTCATCAGTGTGGGGGTGGGGGGGAAGGAAGAGTGCAAAGCATAAGACAGGATATGCAGTCTCCACAAAACACTGTCCAAGCAGAACTATATGACCAAGATCATGAAGGAAGAGATGCATCAGCCCAGAATAAGTAAATTTGGGAAGGCAAAGAAATTCAGAGGCAGAGCAGACGCTTGGCAATTATGCAGTATTAAGAGCACTTTAAGGGAAGAGGAGTAAGACTACATCCTTCCCAACTGCCTAGTGTGTGGTGGTACAGATAATACAAATAGATTTTGCTGACATACCCCTATACTTCCCATGGTATTCCTGGCTATCAAAAGCCCAACTTTTAAAACTTAAATGCTGTCTCTCTATGAAATTATATATGGGCAATTAATGCCGTTAGACTTTGAATTAATTCATATTCAAGATTTTTATTTTGACCATGGTGAAATTATTGATATGTTATACATTTTTTTTTCAATAGCAGTGCCAAAAATCCAAGGGCAAGTCAGACTACATCATGAACTGAGTGGGCTCAGTGGGCTGTACCAAACTATAACCAATCCCTAGCAGGAAATTTGGTGTTTCACAAAGTGCATCAGAGAAAGAACTCTGCGGAAAGGCAAAGCAATACAAAGTTTGAAGGTCTAACCTAAGTTTGAAGGTTCATTTAAATCATTTGAGGCCCACTCCAACTCCAGAAACCCCAGAAGCAAGTCCTACTAGAGATGTTCCAACCTCCTGGAAAGCAAGGAAAAGAAAGAAAAAAAGGCAAAATTCTCACTATGAAATCCTGAAGAGCCATGAAGACCATTTTTAATGGGTTTTAAGCCAATGGTCCTCATGGCAGTTTAATTTTGTTAGAATAATGAGCTTGTTTTACTATATTCATCTTCTTTCCTTCGCTTTTCTGCAGCAAAAGCAATAGTGTTGCTAAAAATTGGGTTTCTGTTGCTATGATGTATTTACAATTGCCAAGTAGCATGCAACAGTCACAACTTTTAAATAAAATAATTGCTTTAAATCTATTTCATAATTCTATCTGGAGTTTGCAAATTTGCCCTTTGTTTCCATGCTATATAAACCTTGATGGGTATAAGCTCAATATAGAAGAGAACTAGTGTTTGAGGTAGTGGTTTATGTGTTGAGGGTGCCTTATGGAGGCCCTACAAAAACTGCTCTGCTAAGGCATATTTTTAACCCAGAATCTATTTATTCCCTTGGTAGCATAGAAAGGGATGCTACAAGGGAACAAACTCAGATTCTGGGTTAAGAATATACTTTAGCAGAGCAGTTTTTGTAGGGCCTCAGTAAAGCACCCTCAATGCATAAACCGCTCAGCCTCAATCACTAAGACCAATTCTTTTTTATATTGAGCCTCTATCTATCAAGGTTTATACAGTGTGAAAACAAAGGGCAAATCTGCAAGAGCACAATGTGTGTTAGATTGTTAAGACACGCATTTTTCAACCAGCAATTGAAAATGCCATACGAGCAAATACAGCTTGATTATGTTCAAACTCTCCTGTACTTACCAAAGATATGGTATTATTCCATACTTTCCTTTCCCTATGCCTCAGGAGGTCCTTGTACAATTGGGCATTTAACCCCATTTCATGCAGTACCAGTTGCCTAAAACTACACTAATCACAAGCCCAAGTGAATTCACAAAAACCAGGACCTCAAGGGCTCCCCAATTGCTATTAATCAAAGTAATTGGTACATCAGCCAATTACTTTGATATTAAAAAAAAACTGGCTTGTGTAGTTACAAAATATATAGACTTCAAACACTATAGCCTTCCTAAATGAGAAGCAGGAAAAGCCGAGAACATCCATCTTGCAAATTGGCTCTATGCTATTCAAAATGACCCATTGCTGTGAGGAGTTTCCAGCTTTGTATTGCTTTAACCTGACAATTCCTTGCAAGTAAAAAAACATGATGCAAGATGTAAGGTATCTGGCAAAAGGAGCTACAGAACAAGTGTTGGCAATCTATGAAATTGGCTTATCTTGTTACCTGGGACAGGCCAGTTTCAAAATGTGGCTGTAGATTGCCTACTCTTCTGGATGGCATTAGGTCTTTTCAGTATTTGTTTCCAGAAGAGTGTAAGGCACACAAACATTTGCTCTCCAAGAGGTCAAAAAGGGGAGAACTATAAGGAAAACAAGTCCTTGGAGGAGTGGGGGATGTTAGCAAGATAGAAACAGAAGGAATGCAGTTATCAAAACTGCTATGGCAATGCAACTATTTATTTTTATTAAGACAATAGCTCTTTCTTGAGGATAGTAGCAGTAGATAGATGAGGATGTAACTTGAGATTTTCTAATTATTAATATCTATGCTTATATCATCTTTACCTTTGTGTAACTATTAGTTTCACCTTTCCTGAAATGTATAAAGCACCACAATCCAAAGACTCCAGAGTGTAACCCTACCTTCTTTTCCAATGGAACTATTGAATTCAACAGCACATTTATAGCATTATAGTATGGCAATCCATTCATTATAGCTGTAGCACACACAGTTTTCCAGAAATGAAAAATTAGGAAAAAAAAAAAAAATTGACTACATTTAAACCTCTAATTTTCCTTAACATTACAGAAGGGTAGTTATTATGTGTTCTTATTTCTTATTTAATTATTCCATTTGTTCAACACACTGTCTGGTTTCAGGAAATGTCTTATACTCGAGTATTACCCACTACTAAAGCCTGCTCTCAGTTTAAAAGCAGTGCAGGTCATGCTGATTCTGTAAGGATTAAAGAAATCTTTTGGCATCATAAAAACATAGGCATTTGTAAAGCCTCTGAGTTTTTTCCAGTTAGGGGACCTGCACTTTTTCTCTATTTTTTCCTTGTAACATTTGCATGTATGATTAAACCTTTAATAATGTAGAAAGTGATAAGAATCATATTCTTAAATCCACTTTCACGTGCTGAATTTTAAGATCTTAATTTTTGTACTGCTTTTCAGTTCAGTGTGTATTCAAGTGATCTTTCCTTGGAATGTAAAGATAGATACAAGCAATTTGCCTTCAATTTATCAACATGTCTAATTATTTGTTACTTTGAATTACCCATTTCCAGCTTCAAATCTAAAAACTCTTTAACAAATAATATAAATACTGAACAACTGCATTTGTACAATTTAAATTTATTTTGAAAAGTCAAATAATTACAATTTCAGATCATACTACTAAATAGAACCTGCTTCACCTTAATTTCTGTATCATATAGATTTGTATGAACAGATCAAATATTTCTTATATTCAGTCACTTAGGCTTATCCTGATTATGGGGTAATAAAAATAGGAGGAATACTTTGCAGGTCAGCTTGGTATTTAAAAGAAATTTCAATTTCCTCTCAGCAGCACTGGAATTATTTTACCAAAGCCTATTAAAGAGAGTTTGTCGGGTATAAGTTTTTTTCACTTTCCAAGGGATAGTCCTTCCAGTCCAATATTGTTTTAATTATTAAACTAAAGGTACAAGAAAATTCTGGCTTCAGATTACATACCAAATTGTGTTAAAATGAAATAAACAAGCGGATTTTTTTGAAACCAAAAAGATGAGAGGTTATTAAAATAGTAGTTTTCTACTGAAAATACGACATGCAAGCATTAGCACATACCAGTTCTTTCTCCATGAGGCTCAACAAAAATCCACTTGTTTTAAACCAAATGCATGAATTACAAAATATTTTACCACTCTGGGATTCCCATTAATTTTTTTAAAGATATTTAAGTACATAAAACTACAACAATTACACCTGGAATATTACAGTAAGAAGAGATGAAAATGGGTATTTGAAAAGAAAATACATCTTAATGAACCAGGAACATTTTAATTGGATACAGGATAATGGTAGGGAACCAACAGGAAAAGCTAGGTTCGGAACATGCTGTTGAAAATTGATATTTGCTCTATAACTGTCTTCTCTTCTTAATAACGCCCTGGAAGAAAGAAAAAAGAATGCTGTAACTATAAATTCATACCTCCACATCAGCTTCTACATTAATTTAGTTGTCTCGGAGAGTATATTGTATTAGCATTTCCTATGCTTCTCTTAAAATCTCTCACTATATTAAGATTATGCATATTTACTCTTTAATTAATATAGTTATGCTTACTTGGACTGTAGGAACGAGATCTTGATCTTGATCTGTAACGACTATAATATGGTGAAGGTGATCGCCTCCTTTGGAAGAAAATGCAAAGTATTTCTGTTGACAGTGGTTCATTTCCATATTCATACATTATAGCAGTTCACAGGTATATACATTAATGAGGTTTGAAGATATTAATTGAAAAATTGTTTGCAGGGTTTATAACGTGGAAAAACAAGAGTTAAATTTTATACAGGTAATCCTTGATTTATAATCATTCATTTAGTGACCATTTGAAGTTAAAATGTGACATGACCATTTTTCATACTTATGATGGTTGCAGCAGTGGTGGGTTCCTCCTGGTTCCGCTGATCTGGTAGCGGTGACGATATGATGTCACTGAACCGGTTCTGCCCCGCTCCGCCCCCACCCCCGTGTTATTTTTACCTTTTATTTGGCCCCACCCCCAATCTATTGCTGCCTCCTGAGTCCCAGCTGATGGCTAGAGGGAAAAAAAACTGTTTAAACTCTTGCCACGGGGCTTCAAAGGGCTGCCCTGATCAGTATTAAAAGAAAACAAATGAGTAGACCGGTGCCTGCAAAAATACATGAGTAGATCAGTGCCTGCAAAAATAAATGGGTAGATTGGTACAGCTCTGCAAGCAGTTAAAAACCTGGTAGACCAGTACCTCTGCTAAATCCTAAATAATTGTCACATGATCATCAAGCCACGCCCACAAAATAAGCCACGCTCCAGAACTGGTAGTAAAAAAAATTAGAACCCACCCCTGGGTTGCAGCACCCCCATGGTCAAGCAATCAAAATTTGGATGCCTAGCAACTGACATGTATTTATGCCAGTTACAATGTCCTGGATCATGAGATCACCTTTTGCAACCTTCTTGCAACTACAGTTAATTCACTTAACAACTGTAATAAGAAAGGTGGTAAAATAAGGCAAAACCATCTTGCAAAATTTTTGAGTCAATTGTGGTTGCACGTTGACTTGCACACATATAGGTAGTCCATTTCACTTACTTACTACCTCAATCAGTGACCATTCAAATGCTGTGTCCTCACAATTACATAACTGCAATTTGGGCACTTTGCAACTGGCAAGCATTTATGGTGGCTGAAGCAGCCTGTGGTCACGTGAATGCCATTTGTGACTTTTACAGTCAGCTTTTAACAAACAAGGTCAATGGGGAAGGCAGCAGGAAGCTGTGGTCATGTGATGTTAATGAGTTGCAGTGATCTGCTAAACAATTGCAGTGGAACTGAAGTTGTTAAATCCAGTATAGTCATGTGTTGTTTTCACTTAGCAACTGCATCAATTAAAGACAGAGTTGCCGGTCCCAAATGCAACTGCAATTGGTAGTGTGAACTATTGGTTTATATAATAGCTGTAGGCTACTTAGCACAAATGTACATTCTATTTTTAAATAACTTCCCAACATGTAGGTTATAATGATCAGGACTTTTGTGTAAAACTTCCAAATTACCCTATTTGCCATCCAAGCACTTCCTAGGATATTTTCTTCACAAACCAACTTTCTTCCATTTTATTATTTATTTCTCACACTGTATATCTTTCCTCTGATTTTAAAGTGATTCAATTCTACTGATTAAAGAATATTACAATAAATAGTATTAACTATTTTGTTGCACTCTAATTGAAAGCCTTTACACTGAACTGTAATCCAATAATCCTGATTTTTATTTTATTTTTTAAATGTCAGACAGAATCGAGTATAGCACCACCATAAATGTGCCCAAATTGCAGTTATGTAATTGTGAGGACACAGCATTTGAATGGTCACTGATTCAAGTAGTAAGTGAAATGGACTACCTATATGTGTGTGGTCAACTTGCAACCACCACTGACTCAAAAATTTGCAAAACAGTTGTTAGGAGGATTTTGCCTTATTTACCACCTTTCTTACCACAGTTGTTAAGTGAATTAACTGTAGTTGTTAAGTTAGTAACATGACTGTTAAGTGAATCTGGCTTCCCAATTGACTTTACTTGGCAGAAGGTTGCAAAAGATGATCTCATGATCTAGGACATTGTAACTGGCATAAATACATGTCAATTGCTAGGCATCTGAATTTTGATTGATTGATCATGGGGGTGCTGCAACTGTCATAAGTATGAAAAATGGTCATGTCACTTTTCTCAGTGCTGTTTTAACTTCAAATGGTAACTAAATAAATTTAAAACTGGAAAACTCACTCCCTATTTATTTTGCCTCTTTCATAGGATACAGACAAGGCATCTCATCCTGATAGCATCTGACGAATCTATTTTTTTTCCTTAAAAAAAAGTACAAGAGCATGCAATGATAGAAGATACCCCTCTTATTTTTTATTAGAAAATAATCAACTAACTATGCTTGACTGATTATTTTCTATCTAACAAGGAACATTTTATTTAGCCAAAAAAATGATTAAAACATTATTTGTTTCTATTCAAACATAATACAAATGGAAAATCATGTTATATATGAGCAGTAATTTGTCTGTAAACTGCCTAGAGTCACTTAGATAAGATGGGCAGTGTAGAAATTTAGTAAATAAACTAACTTAGTTTTCCAAATACTGCAAAATACTTTCTGGCAATGTCCTGGAAAAGGTAGATCTGAACATTTTGGGCATATTTTCCACACATTTTGAGAGAAATTTACAGGTGGTATTTGGCTTATGTGGGCCATATACTTCTATCTGACACTTTAAATCTGCAGTATTGATAATTGAGGTTTGTCTCCGAAATTTAGTGGTGTACTCTTAGGGTGGTCTGGTGTCCACAAATGGATATTAGGGGACTCATATGACTCTTGGATTGTCCATCTCTGCTAAATGGGGAAGGATGTCTGAGCTCCAACAAAGGACCTCTGAGGACCTCCAGAGAAATTGTTGGTCCTTATCAGGCTGGAAAAGCTTACAAAACTATTTCCCAGGAGTTTGGACTCTGCCAACCCACTGTTGGGGAAACTGTGTATAAATGGATGCAATTCAATAATATTGCTAACCTCTCTAGGAAGGGTTGACCAATCAAGACTACATAGTTGCAATTCTTGCAATCCAAAAATTGTGGTTGCTCTCAAAATGGTTATCATTTCCAGGACTCCCAAAGCCAATCTCAAAGATTGCTTATGGGAAATAGAACTTGGTGATCTCCCAAATGGCCATCCTATACATAGGCTGATTTATGACATCCTGGAATAAGCATCATTTTGGGAATGACTGCAATTCTTGCAATTTGAGAACTGTGACCACTTCCAAAATGGCACGTACTTCCAAGATAGTATGAAATGACCTCTGCATAGATGTATTATATTATATATTTTATTATATATTTATTGAATTTGTATACCGCCCTACTCCCGAAGGACTCAGGGTGGTGAACAGCCATAGAATAAAACATATAAATACAAAATTTAAAATAGATTAAAACGAATTAAATAATTTGTCTGATCTCGCTCTCGTTCTTTTTAATAAAAGTAGCAGAGGTGGAGTGAAGGAACAGTGGAGGTGGAGATTGGTTGCTTTGCTTTCCTAAAGGCAATCTTAGGAAAAGGTAAGTGGAGCAAGATGGGGGAGGAAGCCCAAAGGCATGGAGCACAGGGTATCTCAGGGTGGTGAAAGGCCTGAGGAATCTGAAGCAGGCCACATATGTGCTGAGGAGATGCTGCAGTGTAAGCCTGGGGTTGTGTTGGTCTTTCTATGGACTTTCCCGCCTTTAAATATCTTTTGTTCCTCTTAACGACTGCAATGAGATCAGGGATTGTGGCCATTAAGTAAGAGAATTATGTGGGTGCCTCACTTAACAGCCACAACTTACAACCATAATTTTTGATTCAATTGTGATTGTAAAGCAAGGACTACCTGTACTCTACAAAAATAACATTTCTGCCCATCTACCATTTCAGAAAAACGACCAATGTAAGCCGAAAGGTTAATGAAAAAATGTTCTGTAAATGGAGGAGACCAAAACAGAACTCTGAAAATTTTATTTATTTATATTCCATCATTATTATTTAACAAACATATTTAACTTGCCTCCCCGTCCCGAGCTGGGAAAGAGAGTGAGTGTCTGGCCCAAAGTCACCCAGCTGGCTTTCATGGGTAAGGATGGGGCTTGAATTCACAGCCTCCTGCTTACTAGCATGGTACCTTAACCATTAGACCACACTGGCTCTCTAGAAGTTGAAAGCAACTTGAAAGCAGGAATGAGCTAAAATTCTTCCAACCTGACGTGCAGGACTGATCAACAGTGGAACATTTAATTAGTTACATTTAACTGTAGTTATTGCTGCCCAATGGAAGCAGCCATTATTGAAATAAATAATAAATAAAGGAAGCGGTCTAATTTTTTTTTACTGCTTTATAATTAGATTCTCTATCTAATTAGGATGCATGGAGAACAGATCATGTCTTTGGTCACATTTATGCAGAAATACTGAGCATTCAAAAGGCTTCACAAACTTTTAAGCATCACTATTGGAATTTATTGCTTGTGTTAAGTTTTCCATAACTTCCACATATAATTTGAATATTTACCTGTAGCGATAATCATAGTCTTCATATCTGTCATATCCTCTGTCGTATCCTCTGTCATAATAGGAATCACGGCGACGGCCAGTTCCTCCTCCTCCTCCTCCTCCTCCTCCACCACCACCACCACCACCACCACCACCTCCTCCTCCTCCTCCACTGCTATTTATTTAAAAAAAGGAAGAGAGTTCAGACAGGTTAGGCTGAAAGCTATACATTTATTTAAGATTTTGTATCAAGGATAAAAGCAATACTTCTAATGAAGGAACTGAAGAATCATAGTTGACTTAATTTCAGCAGTTATTCAAACTGGCATCAGATATCAAAATTATTTACAAAATGTGCTCATGTCTTATCCTAAGCTCAGGAAAAAAATGAATACATATGCTTCAGGAAGAGTATTGATATCCTTACTTTTTTTTTTTTTTAGCAAGCTTTCAACTCCAGTTAACTGATATGTATTCCTCTGTATGAATACATTTATGTACTATTTTTAATTGTCTTTTATTCTATAGTTTAATTTTATTCATTTTAGTTATTCTGTTGTACACCAAGAAACCGGTGGCACAATGGTTAGAATGCAATATTGCAGGCAAATTCTGCCCATAGCCTGGAGTTCAATCGTAATCAGCTGAAGGTTGACTCAGCTGTCCATCGTTCTGAGATCAGTAAAATGAGGACCCATATTGTTGGGTGCAATATGCTGATAACATTTTAAACTGCCCAGAGAGTGCTGTAAAGCACTTCGGGGCAGTATATAAGTCTAAGTACTATTGTCATACTACCCAGAGTTGGAAGAGTTGGAAGGGACCTTGGAGGTCTTCTAGTCCAACCCCCTGCCCAGGCAGGAAACCCCACACCACTTCAGACAAATGGTTATCCAACATCTTCTTAAAAATTTCCAGTGTTGGGGCTTTCACAACTTCTGCAGGCAAGTTGTTCCATTTATTAATTGTTCTAACTGTCAGGAAATTTCTCCTTAGTTCTAAATTGCTTCTCTCCTTGATTAGTTTCCACTCATTGCTTCTTGTTCTACCCTCAGGTGCTTTGAAGAATAGTTTGACTCCTTCTTCTTTGTGGCAACCCCTGAGATATTGAGACTCTGCTATCATGTCCCCCCTACTCTTCATTAAACTAGACATACCCAATTCCTGCAACCGTTCTTCATGTTTTAGCCTCTAGTCCCCTAATCATCTTTGTTGGTCTTTTCTACACTCTTTATAGAGTCTCAACATCTTTTTTACATCGTAGCAACCAAAACTGAATGCAATATTCCAAGTGTGGTCTTACCAAGGCATTATAAAGTAGTATTAACACTTCACGTGATCTTGATTCTATTCCTCTTGTTTATGCAGCCCAGAACTATGTTGGCTTTTTTGGCAGCTGCTGCACACTGCTGGCTCATATCTAAGTGATTGTCCACTAGGACTCCAAGATCCCTCTCACAGTTACTACTATTGAGCAAGGTACCACATTTACATTACCTGTGCATTTTGTTTTTCTTCCCTAAATGTAGAACCTTACTTTTTTCACTGTTGAATTTCATTTTATTAGATAGTGCCCAATAGTGAAAGGAGATAATGAAAGGAGGAGTGTGTTTTTCTGGCAATTGGCAAATAGAAAACTGTTCACGAAATGCTATAATGTCCAACTCCAGGATGCTACATATAAAAAGTACAGTATGTTGTTTTAAACTTGGCAGGTAGGTCCTGTACACGTGTATTAAGAAAGCCAAAGTCAATCATTAGGGAGCAATACTGTTCATAGCTTGTCCTAAATTGAAAGCTTAACTGAATTAGGTTCTGAGCTAATTGTCAAGAAAAGCTGCCAAAAGCTGCATACCACTATTGCTTCCATTGAATGTTATGGTAATTTAAAAAATATTTATTCTTCAGGAAATACTCAGTATAGACTACAATTACACTTATTTCTAGAGCCCCAGGACCAAAACATAAAAGAGAACAATGGGCTTATTTTGAGTTCAACTGGTTTCCTATAGCAAAATATTGGAACTATTTGTTATATTGTATTGGAACTCAATCTTTTGAAACCTTCTGATTAACACTCTAGTAAAATAGATTGTTTGGAGTTTGAATAAGCAAGTCTGTGTATGTTTACTCCTATTCACTGGGCTCTGAAGTCTCATTTAAAATGCCAGTCATAGAATTTATTTGTAGAAACAATAAGAGTGAAATAAAGCAGTCATTAGATTAGAACATGTTTAAAGGAATTGAACAGTTCACTTAAAGTCCACTGGCAAATGCATTTCTCACAGTAATAGGATCAAAAAAATCTTGAAATAAAAACAATATCTTACTGAGTTGGTCTGCCCATGTAGATGCCAGGGGTAGGTGTGTGTGCTCTCTTTGTGATAGAGTAATCCACTCTGATTCTTCTACCATCCAGCTCCATTCCATTTGCATGTTCCATTGCCTACAAGAAAGGTAAAAAAATCCAAAACCCTCTTATGTCTATATCTAGTAATCTTCTACAAATTAACTTCAATTTAGGGTGAGGTGGAGGGGATTAAATGTGATCATTTTTAAGCCAACACAGGAAGATGCATTCTATGATTAGGTTCTTCTTGCAGACTCAGTTATCATTTCATGATTTCCCTGTCTACTTCCATTTCATTTCTTCTAGAAGAACTGGGTATAATTGAAGTTTCAATGATATCTCTTCCAGAAGAGATCCCAGTTATTTTTTAATCTATATAAACATTATTAAAATTATACCTATAAAATAAGCATAAAAACACAATAAACCACAAAAACTTAAACCTACAAATACAAAACTAAACATCTAACTTAAAAACAACCCATATACAACTTCTGCTTTCATGTTCCTCAAAAATCTCTGCCTTTACTTTCTTCACAGATCCATTAACCCTAATTCTTTTGTAGAACAGATTCCCATTTATGTGACTTTTTAATTAGTATCTTTTTAAACATGCTGCACTGTGGTGGTGGTGGTGTTAAAAAAAACAAACCTCAAAGTGGTAGACCGAAATATATCAAAATGTCAGAAAATCGTAAAAATGAAATTTGAACTGAATGCATAAATATTTTTATTGGGTATAAATGAAAAATATCACAATTTACTAAAATATATGACAACTGCAAGAACAAATTTGGCACAGCATTGGAAAAGAGAAACTTTGCCTACAACATCAGATTAAAAAACTAAAAATGGAGAATATGTAGCAATGACAAATTGGCATTATATATACTTAATAGAAGTCTAATTACGTAAAGATGACTCCCATATATAGTACACATTGCATAATAAGGCAAATTTAGTCATTTGTAAGAGAAGGCAAGAATGTGTCTCTGGAAAGTTTTCCCATATTGCTCCTTTTGTTTTATTCTACCGTATCTATTGTCACTATTTAACATAAACTTATTCTACTGTATCTATTGTCACTATTTAACATAAACTTTTTTCCTGTGTATTTTACTATTGTAACAATAGTAAAATACACTATTAGCTTAATATTTCACGAGACTGATTTTATATTAGGCTCCATCCCTTACAGAATCAGAGATGTTGAAACTTGCTATTACTGCTGCTTTATATCAAGTTACTAAATTATTTTTCAAAATACTCTCAATATACTTCATTAGCTTAAGAACCAAATAACATGTTTATGCTAAGACATTTAAAAGTTGATAATTTCCATTAATGAGGAAAATGCCTGCTGACATCAAATATTTTGTTAAAAAAAGTTAATGCCATTCCATAGAGAATTACTGCTATATCATAATAGATAGTCCTATCAGAATATTCACTCAGAACATCTTGCATAAGACAGAATTGCCCTATTGTACAATAACACCTATGTATTGGCCTCAAATATATTTCAGGATATTATCATTTAATTTAAATAATTATATTTAAGAGGGAAAATTGAGAATTTAGAGATTAAATTCAGACAGAAGCAGCTAATTCGTATTATTTATAGCCTGAAACAAAATAACAGGAAAACTGAATATTGAATATATCCCTATTTAATGTTCTTTAAAACCACATTAATTGTAGATTATACTGCCACCTAGTGTTTCTTTTTATTCCAGAGAAATATTTGTTTCCTTTTTATTATGTTATAAATCTTATGCATTGTGTTGTTTCAATACATTGATGTTCATATAATGTGTTTAAAGTTATTATTTTATTTAGATAGTTTAGAATACTAAGAATGGAAAAGAGGAAAAATCTATCAATGTTAATTCCAATTTTGGTATCAAAACTACAAAGAGCCTGTTAAGTAGCACCAGCTGCCTGCAATTACTGCAAGTTCAAATCTCACCAGGCTCAAGGTTGACTCAGCCTTCCATCCTTTTGAGGTACGTAAAATGAGAACCAGGTTTGTGGGGACAATAAGCTGACTTTGTATAAAAAAGAACACCGCTTTGGGGGGGGGGGCAAAGCCCTACTAAGCAGGTATATACAAAAGTATGAAGGCTATTGCTTAACGCATTGTAAGCCGCCCTGAGTCTCCGGAGAAGGGCGGCATATAAATCAAATAAATAAATGAATGAATGAATGAATGAATGAATGAATGAATGAATGAATGAATGTAAAATTATTGTTTTTTTAATCCAAGCAAATTTATTCTGGTTTCTGTTTGTATTGTATGAATCTTTCCCCCCCTTACAGAAATGTTATTAAATGCAAATTATAATAAAATGAATATTATTTATAAAAGCATGGTTCACTTTAGTGATGTGAGCGATCATCAGACTGTAAGTGTGACATTGTGAGGTCGCTCAGATTCAAGACAAAGTAATATGGCTGACATGATGGCTCACCAAAAAGATAGAGGTGACCCATAATAAAAAGTTAATGTTAGCTAAAGTTGACACTAAGGCAATGTCAGATTGTCTTAAAGCAGAGAACAGGGTGGATAAAAATCAATGATTTTTTTTTAAAAAAATCAAAAAATCAGATTTTTTTTATTCAAATCGGATTTTTTGATTTTTATCGAATTTATTTTAATAAAAAACTTTTGGGGTAAAAATCTATCTTAAGAGAGTTTTCTATTTAAGATACATAAATAATTTAGTTTATTCAGCATGAAATGGAGCTTAGTTATGTAGCATGAGGCTGTATATTCTGCAACACTGGGACTATCGGTGAGTCAACAGTGGGTCAAAGGAGTAGCAGAGATGACAGTTGCTCTTTAAAAATTATGATTTAAATCGAGTTGATTTAAATCAAGCCTTTTTACTAGTGATTTAAATCATGATTTAAATTGTGATTTAAATCAACTCGATTTAAATCAAATCCACCCTGGCAGGGAATGCTACTAAGTGGGCTAGAACAATCCAGTTATCTACTACTGATTGGCCATCAATCTTCAATACATTCTCTAATCTTTGTAATATCCTGAAGAAACATCTAACAGCTAAACCTTGTATCAAAAGATCTCGAGTGGGTAGACTCCATTGGTTTGATTCTGAATGCCAGAGGCTGAAAAAGAAATTGAAGGCAGCTATGAGGCTTGCCCAGAGGTACCCTACTGCTCATATACAAGCTGAGATGTTGCACACAGGAAGAGAACACAAAAAATTATAAAATTAAAGAAAAAAAGTTCTGCCACCTTAATTTGGGCAGAACTTGAATTGGCTGCTAACGTCATAATTCAGCAATATAGTAGGAGTTCTAAAGGAACAGATATTTGCATTTGATATACCAATCTCTGCGAGGAATGGGAAAACAACTATCAAAGTCTATTTGCTTCTACCAAATCAATAGAGAAACTGCCTTTAAGCAGTGAACTAGTACCCCCCAAACCCTTCCCTCTTGGCCACAGTCTCTGTAAAAGAAATACAATCAATTATTAAATGTCTAAAGAGCAACAAAGCCCCTGGTGAAGATTTCCTACCAGCAGATATATTTAAAAATTTTGCTGACTGGTAGAGTTCATTATTGGCAGGTCTTTTCACACATATAAATAACACTTGCCATACTGCAGTTGGCTGGAAGATGGCAATATTGGTCCCCATATACAAAAAAGGGAATAGAAAGGATCCCAGTAAGTATAGCCTGATTAATATTGTAGCAAAATATATATGCGAGGTTCCTTCTGAACAAAAGAAAATCTGGCCAGAGGAAAATCATATTCTCGTAGAAGAACTATACCAGTCACAATATGGTTTTGTGCAAAATATGCATTTTGTTCTGATGTTGTATTAGTGCTCCCTATTTAAAATACATTAGCATACTAAAAGCCCCAACCAAGCTCAGAGAAAACCAGGAACTCTGTTAAAGTATTATATGCCGTATTTTTCAGAGTATAAGACGCACCCCCCCCCAAAAAAGTGGGTGGAAATATGTCTTATACAGTGATTGTTGCCGAAGCCCCGCCCACCCACCAGCCTTCACCTTTCAGCCGTTTTCAGCCTCCGTGCATCGTGTTTTAGACCCATTCCAGGCTGCGAGATTGCCACAACACATTTATACGCCACCAAACACCGCTGCCGCCTTTGTGTTTTTGGCCTCCACACGCCCCGTTTTTGGCCTCCATTTGTTGTGTTTTCAGCCAGTTCGAGGCAGCTGTGGCAATCTTGGGAGCCTGGAACAGGTCTAAAACGGACCATGCGGAGGCCAAAAATGCGACATGCAGTGGCAGCAATGGGCTGTGGTGATCCCTGCAGCCTGGAACAGGTGATTGGTGGTATTCCGGGAGGCTGATCCAACCGCCAATCAGCTGCTCATATTGAATCAGGCTGCGATAACATGCTGAAGCTGACCAGGCTGTCTGCAAGGACGCTAGCCAGATAAATACCAATGGATGTTGGTAGGCAGAGGCAGATTTTTTTTTCTTGTTTTTCTCCCCAAAAACTAATGTGTGTCTTATACTCCGGAGTGTCTTATACTCCAAAAAATACGGGTAATTTCCTTAATACGCATATCTAGTTTTTCCCTTAGCATTAACCTATGCGTTTTTAGTTTTAAGACATACCTACAACATCAATAACACTTCTTGTTCTTTTCAAACTTTCATATTATCCCTTTCACTCATAACTAAGCCTACATCTTTATTTTTCAGTCACAAAATCAGATATTTGTTCAGATCTATTTCTCTTAATCTCAAAGATATGCAGTAGTCCTCAAGCTAGCACAATTGAGCCCAGAATTTATATTGCTAAGTGAGAAATTTTTGAGAGTTTTGCCCCCTTTTTACAACTTTTCTTGCCGTATTTGTGTGGCAATACAAGATAAGTGAATCACAGCAGGTGTTAAATTAGTAAAACGGTTAAGTGAATCCGGTTTCACTATTGACTTGCCTGTCAGGTCAGAAAAGATGATCACATGACCATGGGACACTGCAACCATCATAAATATGAACCAGTTGTCAAGCATCCAAATGTAAATCATGTGACCATGTAGATGATGCAACAGTTATAAGTATGAAAAATGGTCATGCCACTTTTTTCAGCAGTTGTAACTTCAAACTAAATAAACTGTTGTAAGTCGAGGACTACCTGTATTTTTGTCACTTAATTCATGCTGTTCATAATTTACCATTACTGAGAAATTGTTACTGAGAAATTCCCAGGGACTACCTGCATAGAGTATACTGACCCACATCCAGGATGCATCCTTTGTGCCTCAGAATAGTTATTAGCTTTAATTGGGTAAAACAATAAAATCTGATATATGAGGTTGTGTTTTAAAAAACATAATCAAGATTAGCCATATATTAAGGATCCTACATAAGCCAAACTATAGTTAAAGTCATCAAAAGAAGCCATTTATTTCATTATATATGTGATTACAGAAATTTATCTGTATTATTTATCAAGTAGTTTCAAAGTTAACAAGTATTTTGCAAAAAATCCTGATAATTTCAGATTTTTTTTTACCTCTTTAGAATCGTCTATTCTTTCAAAATAAACAAATGCAAATCCTCTTGATCGCCCAGTCCGTTGATCATACACCACATTGACTCCACTCAATGGCCCATAACGGGAAAAGACTTCTCGAAGATCTCTCTCAGTAGTATATAAACTGAGGCCAAACACTCCAAGACATGTATTAGGATCTGGATTAGCCTAAAATGTACCAAGTTAAAATATTAAGTATCTTCTTAATGACAGTTAAACCAGTTACAGGCAGTCCTTGAATTATGACCACAATTAAACCCAAAATTTCTATTGCTAAGCAAGATAGTTAAGTGAGTTCTGCCCCATTTTATGACCTTCCTTGCTACTATTAAGTTATGATTACAAAGTTAGTAACACAGTCATTAAGTGAATCTGATTTCCCCACTGACTCTATTTGCCAAAGATTGCAGGTGATCACATGATGCTGGGGTCACTGCAACTGTCATAAACTGCTTGCCAGTTGCCAAACATCCAAATTTTGATCACATGACTGCAGTGATGCTGCAATGGTCATGTGACAAATGGTCATACTTTTTCAAGTGCCACTGTAACTTCAGACACTAAACAAATGGCTGTCAACTGATGAGACTTTATACGTAGTCTTGCACCAGAAATAGTGATAGCAAAATATTTCAAGAAGCTGCATACTGAGTAGCATAAAAAGGGAACAGAATCTGTTCTGTTGAATCCATCACTGAATCAGATTACTTTAAAAACACCATTTCATTCAAATTATTAGAGAGGCATAAGAAAGGAATCTACTGTGGAGTGAGCTATGTATCAATCTTCCTCATCTCATCATGGATTTCTGATTTTATTATTATTTATTTACATACATACATACATACATACATGTATGTATGTATGTATATATATTTCTATACCACCATTCTCCTTTCGGACTCAGGGCGGTGAACAGCCAAAGTAAAACATTTGTACACAAAAGTTAAAATAGATTTAAAATAATTAAATAAGTTTGGCCCATAATTTAAAACATTTCAATTTAAAACCAATTTCAAATTTTAAAAACCCACCATAAAATCAGGACAACCCGGCTAACTGAAAGAAATAGGTTTTAAGGGCCCGACAAAAAGTCCGGAGGTCAGGGATCACTCGTATCTCTGGGGGTAGATTGTTCCAGAGGGTAGGTGCCACCACAGAGAAGGCTCTCCCCCTGGGGGTCGCCAGCCGACTTTGTCTGGCTGACGGCACCCTGAGGAGGCCCTCTCTGTGGGAGCGAACTGGCCGGTGGGAGGCAATTGGTGGCAGAAGACGGTCCTGTAAGTACCCCGGCCCTAAGCCATGGAGCGCTTTAAAGGTGATCACCAACACCTTGAAGCGCACCCAGAAGTCCACCGGAAGCCAATGCAGCTCGCGCAGGAGAGGAGTCACATGGGAGCGCCCAGTCGCTACCATAATCCCCTGCGCGGCTGCATTCTGCACCAGTTGGAGCCTCCATGTGCACCCCAAGGGGAGCCCCATGTAGAGAGCGTTACAATAGTCCAGACGAGAAGTGACGAGTGCTTGAGAGACTGTGCGTAGGGAGTCCCGATCCAGAAAGGGGCGCAACTAGCGTATCAGGCGAACCTGATAGAAAGCCCCCATGGCCACGGCCATAATATGCTCTTCTAAAGACAGCCGTGCGTCCAGGAGGACGCCCAACTTGCGAGCCCGTTCCGTGGGGGCCAATGATTCGCATCCAATAACCAGCAATGGCGCCAGCTGGCTATACCGGGACGCCGGCAGCCACAGCCATTCGGTCTTGGAAGGGTTGAGTTGAAGCCTGTTTCTCCCCATCTCATCTCCCTTTTAAACAGGTTATCCTGTAGTTTAAATTATGCTATTTAAATATCTCCTCATTAGGAAAGTCTTTAAGCTTGTATTCTCCATGGCCAATCCAATTCTCAAAAGAAATATTAGTATAATTTTTTAGCAATATTTTTTTAAAAGCAAGCTGCTTTGGTTCCTTAATTCCTTCCACCCAGCTATCACTCCTTTTCTCACAGTTTCAAATCCACACCTTATTGCAAACAAGAGGAATAAAGAACAAGTTTAAGTAGCAAAACACAAATTTACTTTTTGGGAAACTTCTGGTAGCTAAAATGAATGTAACTGGGCCTATAAAGCAGAAATTGTAAAGATTTATATTTTTTTCTTGACTACAGAAACTGTTATAGCCAGCCAATTTAAATTGATAAAAAAAATCGTAATATTCCTACAAGCTTACACTACATACTCTGCTGCCAGTGTGCCTTCTTCGGTTAGACATAGGAGAGTGGCTTCGACTCCTTCGACGCCGATATTCTGGGGTATATGATTTACTTCGTGATCGCCGCCTGTGAGAATGGGATCTAGAGCGAGTGTATCGCCTGTGAGAATGTCTTCTGGATCTAGATCTTTAAATGATAAAAATAAAGTTCCAAATAAAAACTGCAGTAAGCCATCATTAAGTTATTAATAACAATTTAAAACTACTGAAAGCATTTATATAACAACTGATAAAAATTTAAGACATTAATTCAAAACCTATGGGCAACTTATTGAATAAGATCTGCACCTCAACATGCTGTTAAGATGCTGGAGTTACCTATCAAAGAAATCTCTCAAAGAAATTATAACCCTCACCTATCCTAAAACAGATTTGTTAATTTTTTTAAAGGCAAAGAAATGAAACAATACTACAGGTCTTAATATTCTAAACTGGAGTGGTAAATTGTAGAAAGACTCACAAAACTGCATGGCCACTGCCACCCTATTCTAGGTGTGAAATGAGCAGAAATTTGTGTATTTTTATTTGGGACACAATTTGTCATGGAAATCTTTTAATTTCTGTTCAATTAGTCTTTATATATTCTTATAGGAATATTTTTATATTTTTCATAACTACATGTAGCAATGAATTTAAATGGCTTACCTGTATTTCTACATTTGCATGTGTATACTTACATATTATTAAAACACATCATAATTGCTTGAAAACATGCACAGTACAACTATTCAGATGGGTTCTATAATGTCACAATGTTACCTTTTTATTTTTACCATTATCACTATATACTTATGAACTTTCTTGGCATTTTTCAAGCCATGACAAAAATCTTAAGTTCTATAATGTCTAAATTTTCCAATGAAAGATCTAACCAACAAGTGTACAAATAAAGTTTAACAGGAGCCTGAGTGGCGTAGGAGGCTAATGCCTCCTACAAAGGCAGCATTTAACATCCAGCTGCCTGCAATTACTGCGAGTTCAATTCTCACCAGGCTCAAGGTCAACTCAGCCTTCCATCCTTTCTAAGGTGGGTAAAATGAGGACCCGGTTTGTGGGGGCAATAAACTGACTTTGTATAAAATATACAAAAGTATGAAGGCTATTGCTTAACGCATTGTAAGCCGCCCTGAGTCTCCGGAGAAGGGCAGCATATAAAAATAAAAAAATAAAAAATAAATAAAGTTTTTAATAAACATAAACATACCTGGATTTTGATCTTGATCGAGAGTGTGATTCAGAATGTTTAGAAGCTCTTGATGGGCTACGAGATCCTGACCTGCTCTCAGATTTTGCACGAGCAGGACTCGCAGCTGGAGATTTTGACTGGGAGCGTGACGCCTACCGAAAGAAGCAGTATTACAAATGGTATTGGTTGCAAAAATGCCTACCTTCTTATGTTAAAAGTAACTATATTTTATTGATTGTGCCTGAAAAATAAATGGTTAGGCAATACCCTCCAGGGCAAGATTCTCTTTATCCCATTATTAATATTGTGTAATTTCCTCAAATAATTCCCTACGTGAACCAGATGACCAATGTTCTATTAACTAAGTAATCATGCAAATTCATCTATAACTTGATCATACAGACACTGGAACATAAGCCATACATTTACTTAACCTAGGACCCATTCATTCTTCCAGATTCTTTTAATGCTACTTCACTCTTGCTTTCTACTTTTCTTCATTCTTCATTTTTCATTTTTCATACTTCGTGTATTCTTCCCCAATTCAAACAATTCATTATAGCCTTAAAAATATTCAAGTGCTTCTATCTGACCAATCTTCTGTTCAATTTTTTCCCCCATTCAATTTTAATTTTCTGATCTTTAACATTTTTCATTAGCCTTCTTTTATCTTGATTTATCTTCCACATTCTTGGAAAAAACTCTTCCATTTCTTCACGAACATTAACCTTAATGGAAAAAGAACATTTAGTATATTTAAGCATGTGGGGATTATAAAACCCTGCTGGATTTTCAGAATTTTATCGACTAAAATGGAATAGCCAGCAGGTGAAATGCAAATAACTAATTTATAAAAGCAATTTAAAAAAATATTTTAACTGATATAATCATATAGGCTCTACTAATGAGTCCACTGATTCCCTTCCAGTGTTTCCCAAATATTGTACACCTATTCTGCTCCCTAATTTCAGTAACTTTCAAGTCTGTAACATTTATCCATATTTATATTTACACACACACACACACACACACACACACTCTTAAATACATATTTGCCTGAGGTTTAAAAAGGTAAGTAGACTTATAGGCAAAGATTCAAAGAATTACAATGGCATATCCATTAACACAAATACAAATAATAAAGTGTCTTGACTCCTGCTTTTTAAACTGAAGTATTACATAACTTATTACAAATTTAGTTCTAAAATACATAAGTGTTGGTTATTCAAGTCCCAAATCTGTATCGAAAATGCAAATTTGATTTACTTCTTTGAATCTGAGCCATAAAAGCTACTTTTGATATATAGATTCATGTCTATCATTAAGTGTGATTATTTTATTCAAGTTACAAATATTTGTACAGTAAAATAAAAACAAAATAGTTTTGTTTAAACTATTTGTTAGTATCAGTATGGTTTAATAGTGTGGGTAATGGGTTAATCGCCTGACTAGATGTCTACTTTGTACTCCATCAGACGAAATGCATCAGGCAAGGCAATATAGAAATAGCAAACTTTGTGTATGTATATTATATGTATCTAGAGGTAATCCTTCTCCCAAACTAAAGTACCAAGCAGTTACTTTACTCTTGAATTACTTTCAAATTTATTTAATTCAAAAGCTGATCTCAAAAGGACCCAATTTTTCCAGAAGTTAAAAATGTTCATTTTATTTTCTAATTCATGATCTTTTTCCTATCATTTTTAAAATACTGAATAAAGTTACAAAAACCTCAAACATTTTGCACTTTTAGCAAGGATCTGCAAATGCTTTGTGGCTTTTGTAAAATTCAACTTTTATGTACTATTCTCTACAATACTTTTCCACAATTAAATATCATGTAATCTAACTACTTCAGAAAAACTTCTAAAAACAGAAGATTTTTAATAGGAGAAAAATAGATAATAAATATAACACTGGAAAATGCATAAGACCATAGATAATGGTAGATAGCTTACTACAAGGAACTACAGATCATTCTTGAGTTATAACCACAATTGAGCCAAAAAATTTTGTGCTAAATGAGACATTTGTTAATAGAATTTTGCCCCATTTTATGACCTTTCTTGCCACAGCTGTTAAGTAAATCACTGCAATTATTAAATTAATGATACGATTGTTAAACGAATCTGGTTTCCCCACTGACTTTGCTCGTCATGTTACAAAAGATAATTCACATGACCCAGGGCCACTGCAACTGTCATAAATATGAGTCAGTTGCCAAGCTGAATTTTGATCACATGACTATGGAGATGCTGCAACAATCTAAGTGTGAAGTTACTTTTTTTGATTCAAACAATCACAAGATGAACTGTTACAAGTCAAGGACTACCTGTACTAATTTTTGACAAAGACTAAACAAATTGTTGTAAGAATCCAATCTGGGTCGGTCACCGGGACAAGAGGTTTTGTCTTCTGAGCTTTTGGACTTGCGCTGGAGTCCATTTTCAGGGAACTTCTCTCTAGCCAGAATATGGGCTCCAGAATGAGTTCGAAAGCTCTAATCCTGGTGACTGACCCAGATTGGATCCTGCAACATTACCCTGGGTCACATTTATTTGCCTTCATCTTTGAAACTGTTGTAAGTTAAGGACTGCCTGTACTAATTTTTGAAAAATAGTTTCTGATTCAAACTGCCCGAATAAAAGGTCTCTACAATTACATACAATATATTGGGAGATATCACATTTTAGCAGCTCGTAAGTTTATTAACACCAATGGAGCCACTTAAATGTAGCACTTTACTACCAGAGTTGTTGTTGTTATTATTATTATTATTATTATTAATTAGATTTATATACCGCCTACTCCCAAAGGACTTAGGGCGGTGAACAGCCAAGATAAAACACATACAATATAAAATTTAAAAAACAATTTAAAATGTATTAAATAAATTTGGCCCATACTAATTAAAACACCCCTATTTTTAAAAATTTTAATATTAATTTTAAAATCTCCATTTCTGTTCTATATTGATAATGCACTGTACTTGAATAGAAACGTCAGATATAAATCAAATATGTAATATACGCTATTATAATTATAGTCTGAGAGCCAGGTTGGGGTTATTGTTAAAGCTCAAGACTACAAACTGGGAGAGTGAGTTTTAGTCCTGTCCTGGGCATAAACCACTTTTGAAAAACCTTTGAGAAAACTGCAGGGACTTATCCAGGCGGTTTTTGAGAAATGGGCACAACTGAATAGAAGGAAAAAATTACATATCCAAGGCTCACTATCAACACTTAAGAAAGACAACAAAATAGTTATATTAAGTATTTTTAAACCTATTCATGTAGGTTTAAATTTACATCATGATTGATATAAATGCCTATTAGTGTAGAACAACTTTGGAAAGAGTAGACAAGCTGCATTGCCTTGATGCTATTTCCACTTAAATCTTTTTGAAATTATATCCTGACCAATCCATTCAGAAATGCCTGGTTTTAATACAGGGACATCTTTTTAAAATGACACAACTACTGTATCTTTCACATAAATGATCTTTCTAATTTAAAAATATACATTGCACAACTGTATTGATTGTTTTTAAGAACAGCAGAGAAAACAATAAATTACACTGAAAAAGAATATTCTCTATATCAGTGATATGGTACTTCATTTTTTTGCCTTCTCCCCACCCTGAATATGGGCATTTTATCCTGGTTTGAAGGTCTTCTTTCAGTTAAGCTTGATTCTAGGTGACCTTAACATATCAAGAATGGGGAGAAAGCATTCAAACTATATGATTTTATACTACCACTTTCTAGATATTTTTTCCAATTTCCAGATCTATTATATGCTCTTGGAATTTCCCAATTTGTAAACGTTTTGAGATTAACCAAGGTCTACATCAAAAACATACTAATATTAGAAGGCAACGGTATTTTATAAATAATCCTTGCATTTATATCATGACTGCATTCTGTCTAACTCACAACTGACTCACCTTTGTGACAGATTGCAGTGTTCTGCAATTTATACTTTTTGCTAGAAGCATGCTTTCTTGGACAGTTTTTGGCAAAAACTGCCAAATAGGAATGCACTGACTCCCTAAATGACTGTTGCATAAAAGGTCACAAAATTGGGTCAATCATACGGGCCCCTCAACTTATGACTGCCATGATTTAGAACAGAAATTCCAGGCTCCATTATGATCATAAGTTAAGCACTATCTGTATATAAAATTACAAATATTAAACAACATTCCTCAATATATTTATATTATAAAAATAAGAAAAATTCTACAGGGAAACTACAAAATTTAAATTACTAAATTCATTATAGGGACTTTGCTACCTTCTCAAAAGTGCAATGAGCAACTCAATTTCTCCAGACTCTTAAATCTTAAGAGATTGGTCTGGATCTCTCAGCTTTATGTCCTCCCTCAGATATAAACCCAAAGGGAAGGCTAGTGACTTTTATCACTCAAAAGCCATCTTGTCAGATAAACCTCAAGAAACTCAGATAAGCTGGTCTAGGAAAATAGCAGTGGTTTCTATGTTAGGTGGGCCATTCTTAAAAGCAGGGGCGGGTTTTGAAAGCTGTCGCTACCCATTTGCTCATGGGCACGTGCAACGCTTCTGTGTCCGGGCAGGTGGGCGGAGCCTCCCACCACCGCTACCAGTTCACCCGATTCAGAGCAAACCCGGTAGCAACCCACCACTGCTTAAAAGCATGAAATAAATAATACGTTATGTGCAAAAACACCTTTTGTGGCTTTTTGCACAAGAAGCATTCTATAGATGAGAAATAAGTTAAAATAAATGGTGATGTATTAGAATTTTCTCAGGGGGAATGTAAAAAAAAATCAAGAGAAAATCTGACATTATTGGCAGACTTCCACTTATAATCACAGTTGAGTCTGACTGGACTTTAGAGAGTGTATGGTAGACCTCAACTTACAACCACAATCGAGTCCAAAATTTCTGCTGCTAAGTGAGATATTTGTTAAGTGAGTTTTACCCCATCTAAAACTTTTCTTGCCATAGTTGTTAAGTGAACCACTGCAGCTGGCAGATTAGTAGCACAGTTGGCAAGTGAAACTGGTTTCCACATTGACTTTTCAGAAGATTGCAAAAGGTGAATACATGATCCCTGGACACTGCAACCATCATAAATATGAGTCCATTGCCAAGCATCTGAATTTTGATCACGCGATCATGGGGATGCTACAATGATCCTAAGTGTGGAAAAAAAACGATCATAAAATCACTTTTTTCAATGACATTGTAACTTTGAACTGTTATTAAATGAGAACTGCTGTAAACTGAGGACTACCTGTATATGTCACCTGAATTAAGCCAAGCAGTTCAGTGCTAGCTAATGCAGGACACTTCTTAATTAAGGGAAGTGTATCTCAGCAAAAACACAGCAACAAAACAAAAAAACATGGTACTTCAATACCATAAGGAACTATTTTTAAAGTAACAAAGAGGATTCTATTGCTTCCAGATTCTTAATCTAATTATACTGGGCAATTTATTATTTTAATACAGCTACAATATACACTTCTATCTTGCCTGGTTTCAAATTGTATCATTTTTTTCATTTCTTCACAACTTCCAGCTGCTGTTTCAATATTAAGATAAGTGTTCCTAACTTTTGCACAGAAAACCAAACAATAATCCTAAATATATTGAAAAAGCCTATCAAAGTTTTACATTTGGTTTGGTTATTTTTCAAGATTTAAAATATGTGAGAATAATAAGCTTTATGAAACATCATTATTAGATCCAAATGAACATTAATTGTAAAGGCTGAAATATGATATTCTTATACAAGGATAGGATTTGCACTGAATGACACACTTCTATTACGATTTTTGAGAAAAGTAGTAACAAGATATGTCAGTTTTTTTTAAAAAATGAGTTTTCCAAAATTTATAAGGTAAGAGAGGAACAAAATTATATATTTTTTTATACTGTAATAGAACACACACACACTCATATATACACACATACAAATCTAAATATAAAAATACTGTTAACACTCTTCCCAGACACCAGTTTTACAAGTATGCTACTATACTCTCTATATAAAATTTAGAAATCCCTTTCAATAATTAAATAATGACTTGATAAGTTATTTAAGATAGTGCAAACCTAGAATTGCAACAGTGGCAAGTAGCTTCTAATTAACTCTTTTCATTATTACTGCCCACAATAATGCAGAAAATATCCACTAGTATCATACCTTAAATACCTTATCGTAATAAAATGTTGACTCTGTCTTCCGGTGTAAACCTAATAAATCATGCTGGAAGCTTAACAGCATTTTTACCTGAAAAAATCCTGACGCCATTTTCATCGTATTATTATTATTATTATTATTAGAAACGATCCTCAACTGTCTCCCAGGACAAGGGGGCTTCTTTAGAGCCGGCCTTCCGGATTTTTCTGACTGTGTAGGGGATCCCTTCCCACCAGCCCTGCATACTTTCTATTTGGATTTCCTGGGGGGGAGGGGGGGATGCTGTTTGTTAAAGTGAAAAGGGAGATTTAAAACGACAGGGAATGAAATAACGTTCAAAATGGCAATGAAATGAAATAAAATAAAATAGGGACAGGGTAAACGTTTAAAAGCGCGAGTGGGCGCCGGAACCCAAACCCATTAAAGGGGTGAGGGATGGCGCCAAAAGAGGAGTCGGGATCACGGTTGGTTAAATCCGAGGATCCTTGGTCCGGAAGGAGGTAAAGAGGGCCGAGTCGAAACAGCCAACGAGAACGCGGTCCCTGCGGGCGGGATGCAGCGTAGCCCCACCTCGGAAGAAGGAACCATTTTGGTAAGGAACAACGAAGTGTCTCAGGATGACTCCGCCCAGCTCAGCGCCCGATTCGGAGGCTCCTTTTTTTTTTTCCTTTCCTTTCCTCTTCGCCCACTTCTCGCCCTCAGGGCCAGGCCAGGACTCCGACACCTCGGCCCGAACAGAAACCGCTCACTACTCACCCTCCCCTCGAAGTTATTCTCCTCCGCGTCGCTCATGCTGGCGCGTGTCTAAGGCGGCAGGGGGCGAAATAAGTGGAAATCCACGGGAGGGAGCGCCGAGCCCCGACTTTCTCCTGCCACTGCCTCCAATTACCTAACTTCTACGCTGTGGCGACGGCAACGCAAAATGGCGCTTCAGTCACTAAGGTCTGCGCCCGACACGCAGGGAAGGGGAGGGGCTCCTGGTGCCACGCCCAGATATGCCACCATGTGGGCATCGCCGCCGCAATGAAAAAACATACCGGTATTAGTCCGGGCGGATTGGCACACGCGCAGTTTGTTAGGTCTAGGCTTTCCACGTGTTGGACTTTTCAGGAATGCTTGAGGTGGATTGCAATAGTATAGTGATCCTTCTTGCCTTGTAGTCCCTATTCCTTACTTTTATTTAATTTATATGTTCACCCAACTGCAAAGTGACTCTGGACAGTTTACAATTGGATAGAAACATAAGCAAAATCCAACAACTATTCATTACTTAAAAACAGACTAAAAGAGTGAGCACTGGCTGCTGTAGTTCATTTAGTGACCACTCAAAGTTACAACGGCATTGAAAAATGTGAATTATGATCATTTTTCACACTTAAGAACTATGCAGCATCCAGTGGTGGGATTCTGCCGGTTCTAGACGGTTTGGCCGAACCGTTTGTTAAATTGCTGGCTCGCCCTGCCCCTCCACGCTATTTATTGCCAATAAATAGTGGTGGGCGAGGGGCGGGCGAGCCAGCAATTTAACAAACGGTTCGGTGTTTTTTTGTAATTTTATTGGCCTCCCAGCACACTTGAACCGTTTGTTAAATTGCTGGCTCGCCCGCCCCTTGTCTCCCACCTGCACGGCGCCAGCCTATCCTAGCCAGAGGTGGGCAATTGTGGCTCTTTTACAACCTGTGGCTTGGCAGTCTCAGGAATTCTGGGAGTTAAAGGCCACAGGTTGTAAAAAAGCCACAATTGCCCACCCCTTCCTTAGCCTGAGTTCCGCTGCCTGGGATCCACGTGGGCTGCCGCAGGGAGAAACCAGGTATGGCTGGCTGGACGCTGCCCGGAGCTGAACTCAAGGCTGGCAGGAGGAGGAACATTGCCTCTTAGCCGGCTCGATTGAGGGATAAGCCATCCGCCTCAGACACATGGGACCAGAGCAGAAGGCGAAACTTGCCCCAGAGGCCACCACCCCCACGATGCACCCACACCCAACACGACTCGCCTGGGCACGCGGGGCCCAGTATCCCCATGACCTTCCTAGGGCTCTGGGTCTACCTGCGAGGGCCGTTGTGCGGAACCCATGGGGCAAAGACGGTGAGTTTTCCACGGGGGGTTCCCGGACTCCGGCCGGGTTGGAAAGGCAGCAAAAGGGGCGAGATGCGCGCCGCATTTCCTCCGCGGGACCGGGCCAAGTTTGAAAAAGTTCCCCGCCGGCGCCAGACGGGCTCTGGTGGCTGCAGCGGTGGCGGCGATGGCGTCCGGGCAGATCCAACAGGTGAGAGCGCAGGAGGCGCCGCGCAGCGCAGGTGTGCCTTTGCAAAGCGGCCTCACAGCCGGCACCTCCTTTCCCCAGCCGGGGCTGCTGTGCCTACGCTGCCAGGGAACTGGCGGAGGGAGTGGGGAGGGTGGGCCCGGGGGGGGGGGCTATCCAACTTGGTTTTTGCAAAACTATGCGCAAGTTGGGGATTCTGATGCTCGACGTGCATTTTGTGTGGCTCGCGGGGAGGGGGGGGTGGGCAGGAATCTGAGCTTGTGGATTGGCTTGTTTGGGGTGGGGGGCCAGGATCTCCAATGACTGGGACTTCCAGGGGATGCTCCTGGCTTTGCAGCAGAGGGGTCTTTAAACCTGCCTTATCTGCGTTCCTTTTCTTTGCAAAGATCCCCCCTTCCCAAAAAAAGGATGGGTTGCTCAAACGTTTGTGCTGCTGGCTTTCCTGCCTGTCTTGGCTCTGTCAGGGTTGGGTCTCTCTTGCCTGGGGAGAGGGTCTCTTGGATATGTATGTGTGTGTTGTGTTAGGGTAGGCAGGGAGGTGTGATTCACATGGTTGTTAACTTAAGTGAATCCGGTTCCCCCCCACATTGACTTTGCTTGTTGGAAAGGCTGCCCCACCCCCCCACCCTCCATCGCCATCTCAGCCCCTCTGCCCTGCCTTAACCTTAAACCGAGCTGCGTTTCCTCCGAAATCCAGTCTGTTTCCTTGCTGGGCGAGACTTTCCTGCCCCTGCCACTCAATTTTCAGGAGTTGTTTGTTTAGAGAAGGGGAAACCTTCCCAGGTTTCCGGTGGGGGAAGGTTTGAACTGTGGAATATCTCACTGCCACACGTGTGTGTCCCCCCACCCCTCGCCCTTTTTTGCCTTGAAAAGGCAGAAGCTTGAAGAGGTTGCAGAAAAAAAATGCTCTTAGAAGCTTCTGAGGATCAAGCAACTCAGCTTAGATCGTCAGAGGTTTTTAAAGGAATTTTTTGAAGAGATTATAGGAAAAAAAATCGCCTTAAAAGCTTCTGGCGATCCCAGCAGATTTGAGGGTTCGTCAGAAGCTTCTAAAAGCATGTTTTCCTGCAACCTCCTCAGCCGAGGAGGTTGTAGGAAAAAAAATCCCTTTAAAAGCTTCTGGCGATCCCAGCACATTTGCCTGATTGTCAGAAGCTTCTAAAAGCATTGTTTTCTGCAACCTCTTAAGGTTGTAGAAAAAATGCTTTTAAAAGTAAAAGTTAAAAAAAAAAGTTGGCCATGCCCACCCAGTCACATTACCCACAGAACCGGTAGTAAATGGACTACTCAAAGGGCTGAAAAAGTTATTTTTGACCAGTCCTTGAATTTATGACTGTCCTCACATTTTACGTTTTGCGCCCTATCTTGTCACCATGGTGAAGAGAAGTAGTGGTGAAATGACTGACACGGTTGTTAAGAATGCGCAACGGGCATAAATGTGAGGATGGTCATAAGTGTGAGGACCGGTCAAAAGTGCGAGGACCAGTCAGAAATGACTTTTTTCAGCCCTCTGAGTAGTCCCTATGAAGAGCCACGCCCACCCAGTCACATGACCAGCTAGCCATGCCTACACAGTCACATGACCAGCTAGCCACACCCACCCAGTCACATAACCAGCTAGCCATGCCCACCCAGTCACATGATTGCCAAGCTACACCCCCAGCTAAGCCACGCCCACAGAATCTGTTGTTAAAAAAATTGAATCCCACCACTGGCAGCATCCCCATGATCATAATTCAGATGCTTGGCAATAGGTTCATATTTAAGACTTGCTGTGCCTGAAAATCATGGGATAACCTTTTGTGACCTTCTGACAAGCAAAGTCAATGGAGGAAGTCAGATTCACTTAACAACTGGTTACTAACACCAGCTACAATGATTCACTTAACTGTGGCAAGAAAAGTAGTAAAATGGGGCAAAACATACTTAACAAATGTCTCACTTAACAACAGAAATGTTGGGTCTCAATTGTGGTTGTAAATTGAGGATTATCTGTAGTTGCTGGGAAAGCTAGATACCCTTACAATCAAGATTATGCATCAGAATACTTCGGCATATAAACAGGTCAATAAGGATAGTTTGGGTTGTTGCTCATAGCCTTGATCTTAATCTCAGACACACCAACAACAGCCAAACCTCTTACAACTGATCCCATCCCATTGGGTTCACAACCCCTTGTGATCACAGAAGAGGAAGCGCAAGACCTATTTCACAGACAAAAGCCAGGAAAAGCTCCAGGCCCAGACAAGATAATTCCTTCTTGCTAAAAAGTCTGTGCTGACCAATAGGCCCCCATCTTTACCTGAATCTTCAATAAATCGCTAGAGATGTGCTATGTTCCTTTTTGCTTCAAACGCTCTACTATCATCCCAGTGCCGAAGAAGCCCATTATCAAGGAACTGAATGACTTCAGGCTGGTTGCTCTAACATCTGCAGCTATGAAAACCTTTGAAAGGCTAGTGCTATCCCACTTGAAAACCATTATGGATCCGCTGTTAGACTCCCTGCAATTTGCATACCGAGCAAATAGATCAACAGATGATGCTGTTAATATGGCTCTGCCATATTACATCCTACAACATCTTGAATCTCCAAAGACCTACGCAAGGGTCCTTTTTATAGACTTTAGTTCAGCATTCAATACCATCATTCCAGACATTCTTCTAACTAAGCTAAACCAGCTAGTGGTACCTGAACACACCTGTAAGTGGATCATAAGCTTCCTAACAGACAGGAAGCAGCAGGTGAAGCTAAGCAGAATCACATCAGATACCTGTACAATTAGCACAGGGACCTTACAAGGCTGTGTGCTCTCTCTCCACTTCTCTTCTCTCTATATACCAATGACTGCATCTCAAACGATCCATCTGTTAAACTACTGAAGTTCGCAGATGACACAACAGTGATTGGTCTCATTTGAGGCAAGGATGAATCCGCATACAGACAGGAAGTTGAACAACTAGCCTCATGGTGCGACCAGAACAATCTGAAACTGAACACACTCAAAACCATAGAAATGGTGGTAGACTTTAGGAGAAACCTTCCCATACTACCACCTCTTATAATCAGTGGTGGGATTCTGCCGGTTCTAGCCGGTTCGGCCGAACCGTTTGTTAACTTGCTGGCTCGCCCCGCCCCTTGCCCCGCCCCTCCACACCACTAGGCGAGGGATGGGCGAGCCAGCAATTTAACAAACGGTTCAGTGTTTTTTTATAATTTTATTGGCCTCGCGGGGCTTCAAAGGGCCGCCCTACAGCTGATCAGTGTTAAAAGAAAACAAATGAGTAGATCGGTGCCTGCAAATATAAATGGGTAGATCCAGTGGTGGGATTCTA